GACAAAATGACTATTTTCTTCACATAAATAAACACCAAAATAAGAGTGAAATTACCGGAGATGCTGAAGAGTCACTATTATGAAGGAAAAATAAAGGGGACAGAGAAGGAGAGAAGGGATAAAAGTGAACTGTGGGTTGGAGCAATAGCACAGCAGGTAGGGTGTTTGCTTTGCACATGGCCGACATGGATGACCTGAGTTCGATTCCTCTGCCCCTCTCAGAGAACCCAGCAAACTATCAAGAGTATAGCAAACCTGGCAAGCTACCCATGAAATATTTGATATGCCAAACACAGTAACAAGTCTTAAAATGTTACTGGGTCCGCTCGAGCAAATTGATGAACAATGGGAGGACAGTGACAGTGACAGTGTGAAGGTACAGATATTTAGAGATTTAAAAAGTTGAGATTTTTAAAGTTCAGAGAATTGTTTATGTCCACACATATTTTTTTCATTTTTGATACCTTATCATGGTGTTTTGTAAGCAAGGAGAAGATTTGCTTTTTGCAGGACTCAACTAAGCAAGAAGCTTTGGAGGGCAGCACAAGTTAAGATCGATCTCTCTGTTCACTGTGTAGTACTTACTGAACGTTATTCCAGAAAAAGCAGAAACATACTATAGGAGATATGGAACTTGTCATGTGTGTGGTACCGTGTTTTGATCCCTAGTACTGCATATTCTCTGAGCACTATCAAGGCTTGCTCTTAAGTATAGAGCCAGGAGTAATTCCTGATTACCGCCTTGTGGACGCAAAGCTCCTCTAACTTCCCCTCCTCTAACCCGCAAGTGAGTAGTTTTAGAAGTATTAGGGGATGAAACCTTTGAAATTTAGTGAAATTATGCAGGATTATCTCCCCAATTGTTTTATAGGTATACCATTCTTTCAAAGTAGTGATTCTCAGAGGGTCCCCCCAAGGCAGCAATATTACCTAGAAATGTATAAGAACCTACTCCACACTACTTAATCAGAAATTCTGGTGAATTTGCACCAACCTAACAATATTTAATAGAACCTTTATATGTTTGGTGCGGATATGATTTTTATTTTCTTCTCAAACACCTTTAATAAATAAAATTAAGAACTAAAAAGTTACACTGGTCTTAGAAACCTATTAGAATCCTGCACAATTAAAGCTAGGGCCTTTAGAGATAGAACAGCAGGTAAGGACCTCCATACAGCCTCCTGGGGTTCAATCCCTGGCACCATATATGATTCCCTAAGAACCACCTGGAGGGATTCCTGAGTGTAGAACCAGTATAAAGCCCTAAGCAGAGTATGGTATAGCCCAATTTCCCATTCTCTCCAAGAAGAAGAAAAATAAGGAGGAGGAGGAGGAAGAGGTGGAGGAGGAGAAGGAGAAGGAGAAGAAGGAGGAGAAGGAAGAGGAGGAGGAGGAAGAAGAAGAAGGAGAAGAAGAAGGAGAAGAAGAAGAAGAAGAAGAAGAAGAAGAAGAAGAAGAAGAAGAAGAAGAAGAAGAAGAAGAAGAAGAAGAAGAAGAAGAAGAAAAACAAAAACAACAAGAAGAAGAACTCAAAAATCAAAAGTGAAGAAACAGAACGGAGCAAAATAAATTGGAAGGATGCCAAATAAAATCTAGCAATGCCTACAACAAATGTAACAGGTAATTAATGTACTTGGTAGAATCTGGGCAACATTACCAGGAGAAAAGTGACACTATTCGAGCAAATACTGTAGAGACACTGGAGAATTCTCATCATCACCATCATTATCATGTATTACATGAGAAAACATGATCTTCAGATATTAGGCTATGGATGTACAGTATCATCTAATTTAATACTCTCAATAGATTTATCAGGAATTACATTTTAATTCGCCTATTTGAAATATAAAAAAAACAGGTTCTTGGAGCAATTTTGTGCTTTTTATAAAAGTGTATTTAACTAGCACTGCACTGTAGCACTGTCCTCCCATTGTTCATCGATTAGCTCAAGCGGGCCCAATAATGTCTCCATTGTGAGACTTGTTGTTACTGTGTTTAGCATATTGAATACATCATGGGTAGCTTGCCAGGTTTTGCCGTGTGGGCGAGATACTCTCGGTAGTTTGCCTGGCTCTCTGAGAGGAGTGGAGGAATCGAACCCGGCTCAGCCAGGTCAGGTATTTAACTAATAAGAAGGAAAACTGAGATTCGAATGATTCAATATGACTGCAAAGCCCATCTTTTTTTTTTTTTTTTTTTGTAACTGAATCACCCTGAGATAGAGTATTTCAGAGCTGTTCATGATTGGGTTTCAGTCATACAGTGTTCCAATACCAATTCCTCCACCAGTGTAATTTCCCAGCACCAATGTCCCCAGTTTCCCTCCCACACCATCCAAGCCACCCACCAGCCCTGCCTGCCTCTATGGCAGGCACCTATCTTCTCGATCTCTCTCTTTCTCTCTCTCATTTTAAGCACTATGGTTTGCAATACAATGCTGAAAGGTTATCATGCATATTCCTTTGCCTACTTTCAACACTCAGTTCTTGTTCAGAACGATCAGTCCATGAATGTTCTTGTGATGGACTCTCCTCTATGCTACCTACACTCAGTCTCCAACACCATTGTGTAATTTCCAACCATTGACCAAAAATGCAGTATAAAACTAATATACAAGGCCAGGGAAAACAGGCCAGGAGGGCAAAGCCCACCTTGTTAACTAGTATTTGTTAGCAATATTTCATAGGATCATTAAACTATGATGCTGTCAACATTGTGAAAGAAAACATAGTATTTATTAAATGACTTCATAAGTTTGCTTTGCAGATATCACAGGTCGTGAGCAAGGTATAATTTTAAAAGCTCAAGGACCCCTTAAATTTTTCAGAAAGGCACTATGGTATTAGTGAAGAAAATGATGCCAACCATATCAAGGAAAAGACTCATTTTGGTTTTCAAAGCAAAAAAAATTGGATTTTGTTACCCATTTTCTCTTTCATGTCAACATATTTAATAATAAATATAATAGTATTTTGTGTAAAACACAGAAATTTTATTCCTAACTCATGTTATTACACATCAAGAACTCTTAGGCATGTGCTTCATTATCTCTAAACTTTAAGGTTGTTATAATTAAAATATGGCTATTAAAATTTACTTATTATCATAAAAATAGAAAATAAATAGAAGATGACAGTTTTTTCCATGGCTTAATGTCCTATTTCACTTGTATTTTTATGGCACAGAGGTGCACTCAGTATATTTTGCCCTAGTTCCAGCACCTATCTATACACACATTAATATAAAAAATGAGAAGAGACTTTGGACACTAGGAGTATAGTGCTCATGTTTAAATATAAATCTAAGAGTTCTTAATTTTATAACAAAATTGTTCTATACTACGTAAAAGCATTTCATACTTTATTTCTGGTCTAGCTTACTGAATTCTTTGCATAACTTGAACACATCACCAAAAATTAATATTTCTTCATTTTGAATATAGAGCTATGGATATTTTCTTGATGTGGCATATTATATCTTTCCTAGTGGCATAAAATACTGTAAACGTACTAAAATTATGAAGGATTCATATATAATGTTGATTGTTATATAAAATGTTTTAATAGGCATTAATTAAGTTAATTTTTCCCACTCCGTTTTTCATTGAATAAAGAACTACTTTTGTTTTGAGGGACATGCGTGCACACATTTTTAATATAAATGTGTATATGATTGCATTTTGTGAAATGTGTGTGTACTAGTATCCTAAAGTGGATGTGTATACAAGTGTTTTACTTATATGTATTTGGATGGAGCTGGGAAATTAGCTTATTAGCATATTAATACATTTCTATGTTTACCCACATAAATGGAGATCCGAGCACTATTTTTCTCTTATTATAAAATTCATGTACTCTACTACACCAAAAGAAAATCACTTTATGCTTTGACTATGATAGGAACTTTGCAAGTCAGTAGGCATGCTTTTTACAAGCAATAAAATGAAGCTGTCAGCCATTGCAAATGGACCGAGATAGAGGTCACATGACTGAACCACCCCCTGCACCAGGCAGTCTCTGATGTATTTCACTCCAGTTTCAATCTATTAATCAGAGAAGTTGGAAGAGCAATAATTTAAATGCTGCAATAATCAATTCCATAACACATTAATAGAAGCTACAGTCAAACTTTGCCACACCACTGGCTGCCTTGGAATCTTGACAGAAAGCTTAGGGCCATGCCTAATTTGCATTAAATTTACATAAAATTGTAAATCAAGAATACATGAACACAGCCCTAATATTTGTTAGTGCTTAGATCTTCCCTGATAAATGCATTGAAACTGCTGGTGGTTTGACTTCGCTTGCAATAAAATTGTGCAACTGATCAGCTTTGTTCTCATTCTGCAATTATGGGAAAAGGGACCCAAGAGAGCAATAGTTTGGGGGCATGTGTCTGCCATTTAAGATTTTCATCCAATAAAACCATGACTCAGAGGTGCCCGTGGAAACCCCAATATAAAAGCAGATTGTCCCCAATAACTTTGCAGATCATTGTCATTGAGTTTTCTCACAACTAACTTGTCATCATATAAAGAAGCAAACTAAAAAGAACGCTGATGAGCTGAAAAGATGTCAAGTTTCTAAAAATTTAATTTTTCCTAAATATTTACTGTTATAAAATATAATTACTAATAGTCTTTAGACAAGAGAATATTTAAAAAAAACTTCAGCAAAACATATAGTAACTTATCAGTTTGACAAAGTGAAAGTGAAATGGTGTAAGCGCTTTGTGTGTTCCTATGTCCCTATACAAAATTATTTCAACAGCTCTAATATATTTTTGTACCAGGACACTAGTTCATACTGGAAAGATTTCTCTGTATTCTCCTTATTCATTTCATCTTATCATTTTAAAAGGAAACAAACACCCAACAACAATTTAAAATTGTTGGTTTTCTCCAGAAAGGATTGTGTTCATATTTTATACATCTTTTAATTGTTATATGAATCCCACGTCTTTTTTTACTGCTCATCCACACACCCTCTTCTTACCTTGCACAATCAAGTAAACTTGAGAGGTCTTGGGTTCATGCTGTGTCTGAACGGAACAAGTATAGGAACCCTCATCATAGACATCCACTTTCTGGATTCGAAGGCTGTATTCCAGAGAATGACGTTTCTCCAGCTCAACCCGGGGATCCAGAGACCATTTGTCATGACCAGCAAAGATGATGCCAGAACGGTTCAACCAGGCAACCTTTGAGTTCTTGTCCTCCACAATGCACCTGAAGAGGAAAATAATAACATTAGAGCCTTAGCTTACCTTTACCTGCATTAATTCTTAACATGATTGGATTCAACACCAATCAAGAAAAAAATATGCCTGATGAAACAAGACTAAAATATTCCTTACACTGAGTCCAAACTTTGAGTCACTATATTTCATTTAAGATATAATTTTCATCCAATATGCTAATATCTTTATAATCTATTCAATTTGTCAATAAGTTACCAGTATTACTTATATGAAAAATAAAGTTGAATGTGAATTGACTTTCCACTGGATTATCTTTTTATCTAGAAAGAAGTATTTGCACAGAGCTCTATCTGTTCAAGTAATTTTGAGAATGAGATGCTTGATAACATGGCACATATGTTCAGTTCTGAACTGTAATTATTATTTCATAGATACGAAAACCTGAGTCATGGCAGATTCAAGTTATATTCCACCAGTGTAAGCATTAGAGTAGATCTCAAAATCTATATCTCATCCTTACAAGTCTTCCACTCCGAGGAGCTATCAGTGTGTGAGCAGGTCAAAGGTAAGTGGATAAATGTTGTGGCAAAGAAATTAAAGCTCGTAATATCTTGCCTAATTCTCGACCCAGCTGCTGAGGATAGTAGGGGTATCAGTGTGGGAGATAGTGTACTAATGAATTTAATATTTATGGGAAATAAAGGAACCAATTCTGTAGTACTTATTCTCAGGAAAGAAAAGGCACATGTTCATTTAAATGACTACTTATTTAAAAAAAAAACACTTAAAAGGGTCATATTCTGAAACTTGAAAAAGGAGGCAAAGAACTTAGTTATTAGTGGAGAACTAAAAAGTCCCTGGTAAGTGCAAAATTTCTCCTCAATTTTACCAAGAATCTGGAAATTGAAAAATCAAGCTAAACAAAAACTTTCTGCATGCCTTTGGCAAAATTATATGTGTTCTACAAGGAAATTGTCCCAGACCCTGCTCACAGCTGCAGAGCCAGCTGTTCAGACCCCTGGGGCATGAGGAATGGACAGAGAAGCCAGGACCGTGACAGTGGAACAATTCAGACACTGTACTCCCTTGTAATATTAAATGGAGTCAAATCCAGGTTTTCTCTCCAGACAGAACAGAAAGGCATAGATTCCACACCTATACAGAGACAAGAATTTGATGCATAGCCCACAGTCTACCTACTGGAGTGTAGCAGTTAATAAGAGGTCAACTCATAGCCATCCAACGATGAAGAAAAAGTCTCTTCAATAAAGAGTACCTATCTATAGTGTAGAGTACATTTCAATACCATGATCTTAGCTGGATTATACATTTTGGTATTAGAAATTATTTGGCTAGCTAGGTATTTTATGTACAGGTATTTTATTTTCATGAATTTTCATTAATACATGCAGTTAATTTATTTACTATATCCACTGTGCTGGAACAATAGTACAGCGGGTAGGGTGTTTGCCTTGCATGTGACCTACACGGCTGACCAGAGTTCAATTCTTCTACCCCTCTCCGAGAGCCTGGCAAGCTACTGAGAATATCTCGCCCGCACGGCAAAGCCTGGCAAACAACCCGTGATTTATTCGATATGCCAAACACAGTAACAAGTCTCACAATGTTACTGAGCCCACTCAAGCAAATTGATGGACAACGGGAGAACAGTGACAATGACAGTCACACTCTCCATTATCTCTAAGACTCATATCTGGAGCCAAAGAGATAGTATAAGGGTAAAAGAACTTGCCTTGTATACGGCAAACCCTGGTTCAATACCTAGCTCCACACATGGTCCTTGAGTACCACCAAGGGTCATCCCTTGGCTCAGAGCCAGAAGTAGCTTCTGGACACTGTTGGACGCACACCACTGCCACCAAAGAAAGTTTCATTTCTCGTGTACTAAGATTGTTGCTATCTTCTAGATCAAAGGAAAACTTGTTGAATATTGTTCAAAGGGATGGAGCACATACTTTTTCGTGTGTGAAAGTCCCAGATTTGATTCCCTCAGTGCATACATTTTCTCTAGAATGCCACTAGGAGTGACTGCCAAACACAGAGCTAGGAGTAAATTGAGCAAAGTCATACTTTTTCCTCACAGACCAAAGCAAACAAGGAAAACAAAAAATTTTAATGAATGCAAATTTACTTTTTTTTCTGTCACACCAGGAATGGAAATTTATCTGTGTAAACGAGGCAAAAAGACATGCTGCATTATAAAATATATGAGCTTAGTAGGTTAATATTTTGAAAAACAAAATATGACTAACATAATTATAACATGCATTTAGATACCTTCCTATATCAACATGTTGTAAAATAGACACACAGTAAATGCCTCTTGTGAAGTAACAGTTTTACTAATACAAGACACAAAGTTACCTATGTTGTACTGTACTCTTTCATCATTCTAAGACCATAGTCACTCTCACTGTCACTGTCCTCCAGTTGTTCATCAATTTGCTTGAGCAGGCCCAGTAACATTGTGAGACTTGTTACTATGTTTGGCATATGGAATACATCACAGGTAGCTTGCCAGGCTTTGCCATGTGGGGGAGATACTCTTGGTAGCTTGCAGTGATGTCAGAGAGAGGCGGAGGAATCGAACTCAGATTGGCCATGTTGGCCACATGCAAAGCAAATGCCCTACCCTCTGTGCTATCACTCCAGTCCAAGTCTATAGTATCCACAGATACTTTGAAAACTTTTGGGGGACATTTGGGAAAATGAACTATTATTCGTTATCACCCAGTGTAGATGTCTAAATTGGGGTATTAAGATCTTTCAAGACATATTTGAATATTTCCCCATATGTCACACAGATTATTATTACAAAGTATTCTCTGAGAATGTGCATATCTATCTTACCAAAAGAACTAATTGACAACTTCAGTAAAATGGCCAAATCCACAAAATACATCCACTGAAGCAATATATTATATGGGAAATTGTCTATGAAAATTCATATAACATCTTATTATTTATATAATATCACATCCATATTTGTTTTCCAAATTATCACTTAAATAAGTGAAAAGTATCATCACATACATTATACTTTTTATCAACACAGTAGAGTTAGCTAACTCCGAGTACCAGAGCAAAATTAGCATTTTTAAAAAGGAAAACACTTTCAAAAACATAAAATTAAAAAAAATAGAGTTTTTAGTTCCAAAGAAATTTCACTGATATTTATATACTGTAAAATAATCTCGCTGTAGCTGTAGCACTATGGCACTGTTCTCTCGTTATTTATCCATTTGCTCGAGCAGGTACCAGTAACGTCTCCATTGTGAGACTTGTTACTGGTTTTGGCATATCAAATACATCATGGGTAGCTTGCCAGGCTTTGCAGTGCAGTCGGGATACTCTTGGTAGTTTGCTGAGCTCTCCGAGAGGGGCAGAGGAATCAAACCCGAGTCAGCCACAAGCAAGGAACATGCCCTACCTGCTGTGCTATCACTCCAGCCCATATCAAATATATCAAAATGAAAGATGAGTAAAAAGATTTGAAATTTCAGAACAAATTGATATTTAGAAAAATGAAAATATTTATTTAGGTCTTTACATTTTGTGTGTGTGTGTGTGTGTGTGTGTGTGTGTGTGTGTGTGTGTGTGTGTGAGGGTAACAGACAAGAAATGCTCAGGTCCTACTCCTTGCTCTCTACTTAGGAATGACTCCTGGGAGGGTTCAAGGGCCTATATGAGATGTGGATCAAACCTAGGTCATCCGTGCAAAGCAAGTGCCTTATCCTCTATAGTACCTCTTTGTCTCACTCCTCCATCAAGTACTTTAAACTCTGAGATGCGCATGTAAATAGAATCTAAAAATAAGTTCACACATATCTAGTCAACTAATCTATTGAAAAATGATCAATATTATAGAACAATGTCCTCAAGAGACAGTGTTTTTCAATAAATCATAGTGGGAAAACAGGACAGAAATATTCAAAAAATATAATTTTATATTTATATCTCATCTTCCATCATGTAAACACACTCACAAATCTCTAAATGAATTCAGGAACTGCATGTAAATCTGTAACCCATTTTAAGTAAATAAAACAAAAATACTAAAATTTATATGGAACAAAAACAAAAGATCTTAAATAATTCATGCAATCTGAAGAAAAATGAAATGGATTTATTAAACTACAGCACTTCAAACTTTGTTACATACTGGTAGTAATTAAAAGAGTATTATATTTGGAAGAAAAAGACTAATATGTGTATAAGACAAAGGAGTCATGATAAAATCATAGAAAAAAACAATGTCTTCAACAAAAGCTGTAGGGGAAACTGGACAGATGTATGCAAAAGAGTAAAACTGGATAGCTCTGAAATTTGTACACAAAAACAATTCAAATGGATTAAAGACCTAATGGCAAAAACCCAAACAATAAAACTCATAGAATAAAATTTAGATGATGTCAATGTTGGAGATATATTTGGGGACTCAACCTCATAACAAGACAAATTAAAGATAAATGAGATTACATGAAATCTCAAAGCTTCTATAAAGCCTCTTCTTTTTATATTCAACAGAATAAAAAATTCTATAAATATAATTTAGAATAAACATTTCTAAAATATAAAAATATTTGCAGACTTTATATCCACTAAGGGTTTTATAAATAAAGTTTTATAAATAAAATATGCAATTGAAGAGAAAAATAAATTGAATAGTCTAATTTAAAAATGAGCAGATCTTAACACGAGTTTTCAAATAGAATATTTTTAATGAACAGTAGGCTCACAAAAAGTACTCATTGTCATTCATAATTAAGACAATGAATATTAAACCAGAATGAGATATTATTTTATATATGAGAAAAGTTTATCTATAAAAATGTCTTGGGGTACAAGTAGGACATTGTGTCAGGCAATTGCCTTGCATGTGTCCAGCCCAGGTTTGAATTCCAGCAATCCATGTAGTTCCCCAAGCCCCACTAGAAGCGATCTCTGAGCACGGAGTCAGAAGAAAGCCCTGTGCAATACCTGGCATGGTCTAAAAATCAGAAAATG